ACCTCTCCCAATGCTCAAGCCTCCCTCCTAAAGCTTCCTTACCCCATGACACAGTTCTAATGCTAAGATTTATGGGTAAACTGGAGCCTAAATGGCCTATGGTTTTCTGTGAAATGAGAAACTCAAGAATGCCTCCAAGGACTGGGGATGTAGTTCAATAGCAGAATGCTTGTCTAGAATTCATAAGGCCTTTGGTTCAATCCCCAGCCCAAGAGGGGATGAAAAAACCTCTGAGCAGATTTAGAGCTAAGGGTATGTATGTATATTTAAATGAGATAAATTATGTAATAGATGATATCACGTAGGGAAATTCTACAAAATACAAAAAAACTTTGGACAAGTTCTACCTAAACTGAGATCATGACTGTCTCATGAATAGTGGGTAAGTAACCCTGAGGATAAAAAAAAAAAATGTCCATTTCATTTATTGAAGCCTGAGACTTAAACATCACCAATAAAATAAAAGATACCCACTGGGTGTGGTGGCCTTTAATCCCAGCACTTGGGAGGCAGAAGCAGGCAGATCTCTGTAAGTTTTGAAGCCAGCCTGGTCTACATAATGAGTTCCAGGCCAACTGGGGCTACAGGAAGACCCTGTCTCAAAAAGACCAAAAAATAAAATAAAAGACACCCATCAGATGGGAGACAAGACTATATCCCTGTACCTAGTATATATAAAACTTAGAAGTCAATATTAAAATGGGCATGGTGGCACATACCTGTAATCCCATCACTTAAAAAATGGAGATGGGGGCTGGAGAGATGGCTCAGCAGTTAAGAACACTGGCTGTTCTTGCAGAAGACCTGGGTTCTAATCCCAGCACCCACATGGCAGTTAACAATTGTCCATGACTCCAGTCCTAGGGGATCCAACAGCCTCTTCTGACCTCTGCAGGCATTGCACGACATGGATGCATTTACCTACATGCAGGCAATACACGCATACACATAAAATAAAAATAATAAAATTAGCCGGGCGTGGTGGCACACGCCTTTAATCCCAGCACTTGGGAGGCAGAGGCAGGTGGATCTTTGTGTGTTTGAGGCCAGCCTGGTCTACATAGTGAGTTCCAGGACAGCTGGGACTACAGGGAGACCCTGTCTCAAAAAGACAAAAAAAAAAAAAAAAAAAAAAAAAAAAAACAATAATAATAATAAACAAAACTTTAAAAAAATGGAGACAGGAGGATCAGGAGTTAAGGCCAGCCTCAACTCCATAGCAAGCTTAAGGCCAACCTGGGCATTGTGAGACACTATCTCGCCAAAACGCAAAAAATAAATAAACGGCAACCCAATTTGTTTAAATGAGAAATGTCTTAGTTTAGATTGCTTTCTGGATTCTAATTCACAACAGCCTGCTGACTTAAATGACAGAAATTTATTTCTCACAATCTTGAAGTCTGGGAAGTCCAAAATCAAAAATCCAGCATGATCAGGTTTGGGAAAGGACTCACTTCCTGGGTTATAAATGGCCAATAAGCAAAAGAAAACATGCTGAACACCATGAGCCATCAGAAAAATGCAAATCATAGCCACAATGAGATGCCACTTCACACCCACTAGGATGGTTACAATCTGTCTCATTTCTAGATAGCTATTCCAAGAGAAACAACACATTTAAAAGGACTTGACACATATGTTCACAGCATTCTTCATAATACCCAAAAGGTAGAAAACACTGATGAATAAACAAAATGCAGTATATACACAGAGCAGAAAATTAACAATCTATAAAGCTGAACAAAATAGTTATACATCCTATAACATGGGTCAATCTTGAAAATATTTTTCTAAGTTAAAGAAACCAGATATAGGGGCTGGAGAGATGGCTCAGCAGTTAAGAACACTGTTCTTGTAAAAGACCCAGGTTTGAATCCCAGCACCCACATGGCCACTAAACAACTGTCTGTAACTCCAGTTCCAGGGGGGATCAGACAGCCTCTTCTGTCCTCCGAGGGCATTGCATGGCACAGTGCACTTACATGCAGGCATAACCCTCATATATATAAAATAAAAATAATAAAATAAAGTAAAGAAGGAAACCAGATACAAAGGACCACAAATTGCATTCCTAGTCATATGGAATCTCCAGATCAGGCAAATGCAAAGAGGTAGAAAGACTGCTGACTGCCTATAGACAGCACAGAGAGACAGAGAGGAAGGAGTACGGGACAAAGTATGCGGTGTGTCAATATACCTGAGGTGGTTCTTCGTGTGTCGATCCTGCCAAGATAAGGTCTACTAGTCCAATTTCCAGCTGGCATGTTTATGGTACATTAAAAGTTCATGAGAGAAATAAGAGAGCTAACAAGAACTTGCTGAGCTTGTGGAGAATTATACTTCTAAATGCTCACCTCCCAGGTGTCAGGACTGCAGGTATGCATCACCATACCTGGCAGGAGGATTTCTTTTACAGCCTTTTCAGATGGAAAAAAATTCTAAGTCCTAATTCATACACACTCTCACACAGGTTTATAAAAATCTAAACGGAGAAAAGACATGGGGGGGGTAGAATTCAATCCCCATAAACTTTAGGATGACTAAAACCTGGGTGGAGGCTCAATGGTAATGATTGCCTAGCTTATACAGGGTACTTGGTTGAAGCCCTAAAACCAAACCAAAAAAAAAAAAAGAACTAAGCAAAATACAGAAATAAGGAACTACTTGGAGGCATAAGGGTAAAGAATTTCTTTAAAAAAAAACAGAAGGCACAGAACATAAGGAAAACCATTTAAAACATCCGACTATATGATAAGTAATGCACCATGATTAGATTTGTAAAATAAAACAAACAAGGAATTCAAAGTAGCAACACCAAAGTTGTTTCTTTTAAGAAACATCAGTGTTGCCAGGCGTGGTGGCACAAGCCTTTAGTCCCAGCACTCGGGAGGCAGAGGCAGGCTGATCTCTGTGAGTTCAAGGCCAGCCTGGTCTACACAGTGAGTTCCAGGACAGCTGG